GTGCTGGGGATTAAAGGCATGAGTCACCACGCCCAGCTAGAGGTTTACCTTTTAAATCTTTTTTTAAAATTTAAATCTTAGCCGGGCGTGGTGGCGCACGCCTTTAATTCCAGCACTTGGGAGGCAGAGGCAGGCGGATCTTTGTGAGTTCCAGGCCAGCCTGGTCTACATAGTGAGTTCCAGGACAGCTGGGGCTACAAGGAGACCCTGTCTCAAAAAGACAAAAAAAAATTTAAATCTTATCTTTTAATTGACCTTTGAAATTTCTATCATCCTATTTTTATTATTCTCAGTTTTTGAGACAGTATTTTGCTGTGTAATCCAAGCTGACCTTGAGTTTATAATCTTTCTGACTCAGCCTCCCAAATGTTAAGTGTACAGGCATGTGCTATCATACCTACTCCAGCCATTAAAAAAAACAAAGACTTATTTTTAATTATGTGTCTGTGTATGGGAATATGCATTTGAGTGCAGGTGTCATAGAGGCCAGATGTGCCGGATACCCTGGAGCTGGAGTTATATGCAGCTGTGAGCTTCCTGATGTTGGTGCTAAGAACTGAACTTGGGTCATCTTTAAGAGTAGTAAACCATCTTAACCACTGAGCCATGTCTCTAGCCCTCCCAGGCAGCCATTTTTTGTTTGTTTATTGGTTTGTTTTTAGACAGGGTGGCCTTGTAACCATAGCTGGCCTGGAAGTTGCTATGTAATGTAGACCAGGCTGGCCTCAATCTCACAGAGATTCTCCTGCCTTTGCCTTCCGAGTGCTGGGATTAAAGGGATGTGCCACCATCCTGGGCTCAGCAGCCATATTTTCAGTTTCTAATTCTTTATGGTCTCAGATTTTTTTTCTCCCTGTGATCGTATTCTTGCTATATTGCCCAAGTTAATCTTAAACCCTATAGGCTCAAGTGATTATTCTGTCTTACCCTCCAAGTTCTAGAACTAAAGGCCCATACTACCTCTTCAGGGTCTCAAATATTTGAATAAAAACCTCCAGTTCTTATTTTTGGATATATTATTTTAATATATCATGTTACCTCTGGGAATATAATAATAATAACTATTATTATTAGTTATTTTTCACAGTACTTGGTGTTGAACTCAGGGCCATGCACATGCTGATCAGCCCTCTACCCCTGAGCTATATCCATTGCCCTGTCTTATTTATTTATTCTGATTTAAAAGCTTTAAAATATATTAATTTATGTTTATGTACGTATGCCACATGTGTGCTGGTGCCTCAGAGAACAGAAGAAGATGTTGGATCCCCTGGAACTGCCTTTTAAACTCTGTACTTGAGTAGGTGCTTAAGAGGTAGATAAGAGCTGCCATGTAGGTGCTGGGAACTGAACCTAGGTCCTCTGCAAGAACAGCAAGTTCCCTTAACTGCTGGGTCATCCCTTCCTCCCTTCCTCCCTCCCTCCCTCCCCTCCTTCCTTATTTCTTTATTTTGAGATGGTCTCACTAAGTTGCCCAAACTGGCCTTGAACTCACCATGTCCAGCTTTGAGAATATTACAAATTTAAAAGTTTTCTTCTAGTTTCTGTGCTCTCTCTACTGTGTACTGTCTTTTGTCTGTTGGCAGTGTGTCCTTTCAAGAGCAAAGGGCCTATGGTAGTGCATTCTTGTAATTCTAGCATCTGGAAGACTGAGGTGAGAGGATCATTTATATTCAGGAGTTTAAAACTAGTCTGGGCAACATAATGAGGAGGGAACAGAAGAAGAGCCGGGGAGAGGGGAGAGGAAGCACAGGCCCTAAAGCCTGAACAGAGTTGTTTGGTGGGACTTGCTCACTGCCACCTTCACACAGGGAATTAATGGCTAGCCATTTGGTTAGATGACAGCTGGTTGACTTTTCTCTCTGTCCTTCAGAAAAGAATCTTTCTAGTGTTACCTGTGAGATGTAGACCTGCAAGGACCTGGGAACTTGTTTTTTTACCAAGTCTCCTATTTCTGGTCAGCATCTCGTCGTCCCTCCACTCTACCTGGTCCTTGAGTCAGGAGCAGGGTTAGTTTATTTTTCCTCAGAGTAAACTAACCCAAGCCTATGGAGGAATATGTCTTATCCTGTGATCATTTCCAGATCACCTTAACCCACTAGCAGTGTCTCACTGGCCAGGCCCCTCTGGAGTTGTGTGGCTTAAACCCATACCCTCACTTGGTTGGTACCACTGTCTCTGGTCACCTGAGGTTCTGCTTTCCCTGGACTTGGCCTAGTCCAGCATCATTTCCTCTTTTTTTTTCCTTAGAATGATACTAGGGATTAATCTCAGAGCCTCCTGCATGCTAGGCAGATGCTCTGCTACCAGGCTTTTGCTACCATCCCCTCTTTGCCTTTTAAACTCTGTACTTGAGTAGGAGTTTAAGAGAGAGTATCAACTAGCCTGTGTGCTCCATCTGCCATGTTCAAGTAGAGTTCCTATTCCTCATATAAGTTTTTTTTTTTTTTTTTCGGTCTTTTTGAGACAAGGTCTCCCTGTAGCCGCAGTTGGCCTGGATTCGCTAATGGAGACCAGGCTGGCCTCAAACTCACAGAGATCCGCCTGCCTCAAAGGCATGTGCCACCATGCCTGGCTTTTCATATAAGTTTTTAAAAAATTATTTATTTTTATTTTGTTATGAACGCTTTGCCTGCATGCATGTAAGTGTAACACGTGTGTGCAGTGTCTGTGAAGGCCAGAAGAGGGCGTCAAATCACCTGGGACTGGAGTTATGAATAGTTGTAGCCCCTTCCACCCTGTGGGTACTGGGAACTGAACCAGGGTCCTCTGAAAGAACAGCTAGTGCTCTTAACCACGGAGCCATCGTTCCAGCCCTTTGTATAACTTTATTAAACTACTAAAATAGTACATTTGTCAATAAAATATGAATGAAGAGAAAAAGGAAAAATTCTTAGTCCTAACTAGATATAACTTTAGTGCTTGGCATCTTTTAGCTTCATCTGTTCTGTGTGGACAAGATCTTTATTCTCTGGGCTCTGGAAACGTTTCAAGGAGTGGTCTGAGCTTTGCTTCCTCTCCCATGGATTTGACTTCCTCCCACTGCCCCAGTATGTTGTACCTTCTTGGGATATGATGGAGTATCACTGGATCTCTTCGCCTATTCTTTCTTTTTATATTTTAATTTTAAAATATTTTCTTATTTTAATTTTATGTGTATGAGTGTATTGCCTGCATGTAGGTAAGTGCACCCGTGTTATGCAATGCCCATGGAGAACAGAAGAGGCCATCGGATCTCCAGGAATTGGAGTTACAGACAGTTGTTAGCTGCCATGTGAGTGCTGGGATTCGAACCCGGGTCTTCTGCAAGAACAACCAGTGTTCTTAACCACTGAACCATCTCTCCAGCCCCCGCCCCATTCTTTCTTATCTCTTTTCCCTCCATGGCTGTGTGTTGCCCCCTACATTGAACACCTGTTCAGGCTTACAACAATTCTATGAAGTGGGCTCTGACTGCCTCCTTCACAGACAAGGACACTGAAGGCCAGAAAAGGTAACCAGGACAGGATAAGCTCAGTACTGACTCAACCCTTAGACCCTTTCCCCACACCTAGCCTGAGGAGCCCTGAACACTAACCACATTACTCCTCTGTCCAAAGGCCTGCTAGTCTTGCAGGTCCTGCTGGGCCTGTATGACTAACAGTTCCTTCATGTCCCTGAAGGCTGAGAAGGAGCATCCGTATCCCACAGTCAGTGGAGAACTGCTTGTTTCTTCTCCTTCTTCACATTGATGATCTCCATGCTTGGCCAGCTATTCCCTCTTGAGTCAAACCCATTCTCCCACTAGCTGACCCAAGTGACCAGTCTGAATTAAGTACCAGCCATATGTTGGCAAGGGAAGGTCATAGCAGCTGATCTCAACCAACTGCTTCCTGTATGCCAGGTTTCATTCTGTTATGTGCCCATTAGCCTTCTGTCCTCACTGGAAGACTGAGGTAGGCAGGTACCCTTAACCTCCATATTCAGATGAGAGAACCCAAGCAGAGTCAGGGGATTACCCTGGCAGGTAAGTCATGAAGGCCTGCAGAGAGGAGAGGCCAGAAGAAACTGAAAGATTATTTAAGCCTGGTATGGTGGTGCATACTTGTAATCCCAGTGCTTGGGACGTAAAGGCAGGAGGGTAAGGAGGTCAGGGTCATCTTCAGCTACATAGTGAGTTTGAGGCCAATCCAGGGTACATGAGACCCTGTTTAAAAAATATTAGGGGCTACAGAGATGGCTCAACAGATAAGAACACTTGCTGCTCTTACAGAAGTCCCAGGTTCAGTTCCCAGCACCCATATGACGGCTCACAACTGTAACTCCAATTCCAGGAAATCTGACCCCCTCTTTTGACCTCTGAGGGCACTGGACATGCGTGTTGTGCACATACATACATGCATGCAAACATTCATACATATAAAATAATAAAAATAATACATTTTTTTAAAGGTAGAGGTAGAGGCAGGTGAATCTCTGTAAATTTGTGGCTAGCCTTGTCTTCATAGGAAGTTCAAGGCCAGCCAGGACTACCTAGAGATCTTGTCTCAAAAAGAGAAAAAAGAAAAATTTATTCACAGAATGGAAGTCAGAAAATGTAGGCTATAAGAGAGAGGACAGGCCGGGCGTGGTGGCGCACGCCTATAGTCCCAGCACTTGGGAGGCAGAGGCAGGCGGATCTCTGTGAGTTCAAGGCCAGCCTGGTCTACATAGTGAGTTCCAGGACAGCTGGGGCTACAAGGAGACCCTGTCTCAAAAAGACCAAAAAAAAAAAAAAAAAAAAAAAAAAGAGAGAGGACATGTGGGGCCCATAACAGATACACTAAGAACTTTGAGCTTCCAGTAGTCAAAAATATCAGTTGGTCACAGAGTAGCATCGTTTTTGTTGTGCCTGAGGTCTGTTCAGTGCTTTGCTTTTTATCAACGTGGGTCTGTTTCCCAAGAAGCAGTTTACTTAAGCAGCTTCTTACAAGTTGGAAAAGTCTAATTTCACCTCCAGTGCTTGGACTGTGCTCTTTTAGATACCCAAACACAGCCTGTGAGCTTCTGACTTGTGATGTGCCACAGATCAGCGACAGACTAGGTGGGGATGAGAATTTGCTGAACCTTCTGCATGACTTCCTGGACCGCGAGCCACCGCTCAACCCACTGCTCGCCAGTTTTTTCAGCAAGACCATTGGCAATCTCATTGCAAGGAAAACTGAACAGGTAATTATATTATGTGTGAAACTGAGTGCTTAGGACAACCACAGATGATACTGACACTGCCACCAGGCTATAGGGATGGCTTTATAACAGAACACATATGGAGCAGGATGGGTGACTGATATTTGAGTTGGAGCTTGAGTGAAAAACAGCTTTCCAAAGATGTTTCTCATGGTCAGTTCGACATGGTCAGTAGCACTCCCTGCCGTCCATGGGTGCTGTGTAAGCCCCCAGATCAGTCATACATACGAAGTCTGGGAATATGCCTTCACTGTGGAGGTCTGTATGAATAGCATGTCTGTGTGGCCAGACCACCAATTGCTTTAAAGAACACAAAAGATAATGCCCCAACATTAGGTTTTTATGAGAGAGTGAATTTGTTTCTTCTATAGCAGGGTCCTTGCTGTATATTTAATCTGAAGAGGGGTCCAGCCACTGCACCTTGTGGACATGAGTGTGGGAGGCCTGATGGCAGTGTACACCGACTGCCGTGTTCGCACCTACCTTGTCACCCTATCTACTACCCATACCCATTGGATTATTATTTTTTTTATTTTTTGATTTTTATTTTATGTGTATGCATGTAGGTAAGTGCATCGTGTCATGAAATGCCTGAGGAGGTCAGAAGAGGCTGTTGGATCCCCTGGGACTGGAGTTACAGACAGTTGTTAGCTGCCATGTGGGTGCTGGGATTTGAATCCGGGTCTTCTGTAAGAACAGCCAGTGTTCTTAACTGCTGAGCCATCTCTCCAGCCCCTTTTCTTTAAAACTTTTTCTTTAAAACAAATTTAAAAAAATTTATTTGTTGTTGGGCGTGATGGTGCAACACCTTTAATCCCAGCACTTGGGAGGCAGAGACAGGTGGATCTTTGTGAGTTTGAGGCCAGCCTGGTCTACATAGTGAGTTCCAGGACAGCTGGGGCTACAGGGAGACCCTGTCTCAAAAAGATTTAAAAAATTATTTATTTTTATTCCCATTGGATTATTTCAACACACATCTCAGACATCAGATCATTTCTTTTGTAAATATTTCAGTATATTTCTCTAAATTACAGGACTTTAAAAATGTTATTAGGGGCTGGAGAGATGGCTCACCGGTTAAGAGTACTGACTGCTCTTGCAGAGGACCCAGGTTTGATTCCCAGCATCCACATGGCAGCTACGAACTGTCCTTAACTCCAGTTCCAGGGGAATCCGAAGCCGTCTTCTGACTTTC